ACACACACACACAGAGTCAAAGATACCAGGGAATTTCTGCAAAGCGTCTTGATAAGAGCGTCTCTCTTCAGGTGTATATTTTCAGCGCTATGCTTTCGAGAAGGTTCTTCACATGTACAGACAGATGTGTGATGTGATTTCAGGGGGAATCATGACTCTGAGAGGACTCGTTTTGTGCCTCTTGTTGTGGAGTTCCGCGAGCAGCAGACACGTAGGTGAGGAGAAACTTTATGCTTTGGTTCGTTCTCATGTGTTTGGTATATTCGTGCGTGCTCACGTTCGCATTCGAACCCGCAGAAATGCCAGATGATGACACCGTGTTTGACCTGTTCGAGCTCACTCATGTTCATAAGAAGCATCATGGGGTGAGTTTAGAGAAGGGACCCGATCCAAACAGTACAAGATCCTGAACCCGAGCCTGATCCCCTCAGAGCCCGAGCTCTCCTTCAGGGACCTGATCTACTCCATTCAGAGCGAGAGAGGCTGCATCTTCACCGCCAACCTTAAGCAAGCCAAGCGCACCAGAGGCAGCCTGGTCTCCGTGGAGAGGACAGACGGCACCGGATCCGTCTTTGAGATCATCTTCAATGGGAAAGTCAACACCGTGGATCTGGTGTACTGGACCGCGAACGGACAGCATGTGGTGTCCATTGAGAACGTGAACTTGGCGAACGGACACTGGAAGAACATCACGGTGTTTGTGCAGGAGGATCGAGCAAAATAATTAAACACAAAAGCTCTCATGTTTGCAGATTGTTCCAGATAAATGTGAATTTCATGTTAAATAAGTAAATGAAAGATTGCTTGGATCTGTCAAATATTAGGGGTTTAGGATCGCAGTTGATCCTTGATACGTAGGGATGAGACCCTACACAAAATTAGCTTATGTCAAAAACGATTCACGGCATTGTGCTTTAAATATTTTTCTTGCTTATCTGAAAAAATACTAAGATCGGTGACAAAACAAACAAAAAAAAATTATATAATGCGTTGAACCACTATAATACTATATAATAGCCTAATATATATATTACGCGATAATATATATATATAACATTTATTTATTTATTTGAAACAGGTTTGGGTGATAACTTTGCGCGTGCTACCAACCCCAGGCCATAAAAGAGGGCTCTCCTGCCAACAGGATTTTTTAAAATAACGGTATTTTACCTCAGAAATGTTTGCCTATGTGCGGTATTCGGACGGGCACAAACACGTCGTTCCCATAGAAGACATTAAAAGATTTGACCCTAAAAATTATAAACAGGATTTTTT